GTAAGAAGGATAGTTACTTACTTTTAATTTAGTAAATTCTGTCAGCATAAAACTTATAAAAAAATGGGTATTTGTAAGGCTTAGCCTTGGAAAACTTTAAATATTGCAGAATAGATTTACAGTACTGGTCGTTCCATAATATAAATAAAAGCTTAAAGCAAACCTGATGTGCACTTCACAACTTTATTAATATTTTTATTTTAAAATTGATTAAAATAATTTTTATTACGAAAAAGTATGGTAATTAATCAATATGAAATCAATTTTTCATTCCGTCTAAGTGTGTCAAATCTAACTGAATTTATCCATAAACTAAAATATTTCAAAAAACTTATAAAACATACTCGTAAATATAATATACATGCATATTTTTATTTTCATATGTATATATATAAAGTATATTTATGAGCTCTACAGATATGTTACAGAATCGATATAAATACTTCACTATATATAAAAAATCACAAATTGCAATAAATAAAATGCGTAACAAATTGTTTAAAACAGTGGCAACCCAGCACATTTGCATATTAAATTGAAATATAAAAAAAATTGATTTATATGAAATATATATTTAAAATGAAAGAAACTGATACGATTCGGCATTTTTTAATGGAGCTGCATTTGCAAAATTACACGCCAATATAAAAAGTCATTAAGCTGCATTCATAAGTGCAATTCATAAATTTTGGTGCCCAAATCGTATCGCAAAAGTGCAGTGCGATATGCAAAAATTATTGCTAATGCAAAAATTGAAAATAATTTTTTTATTTTGAAAAAAATATTTTTATACATAATTTTGCGATATTCCGAATACGAATAAAATAAATGCATTCGATTCAACAGTTGTCGCCTCTGGGCTCGAACCATTTCAAATGTACGATTACTCGTATATGAGGGTTTCCAACAGTGAAAAATTATCGGAGCTTATCGCCTTTTGCTGATTTGCCAAGTATTGCTAATGTGAGACAGAAGCACGTGTAGTCAGCAACTTTAAGTATTATTAATCATTTATTTAAATGAAAAATATATTATTAAATGATTTTAGTTGAAATTAAACATATGATTTGCTCGTGATTTTACATTTTCAGAAAAAAATCAGGATAATTTAATTTGTAATATTGCACGTACAGTTGAGGCTCACTAAGACCTTTTGTTTTAGACTTTCTAGAACTTAAGAAAATCGTATAGCTTTTTTAAACGCTAATAAATAGCAATAATCTATATAATTGACCCAAGTTATAAATATATAACCTTTATACATAGTTATTTATTTAAAAGTCACATTTTAAATCGATCGATTGACATCGACAATACTTAAACACACAGGAAGTATAAATATTATATATGTATATAATTCATTAAATTCTTACAAAGAATATAGAATATAGAATAAGCCCAGATAGTACTGATTGGGTATTTCGTGTATTTCGTGGTTGACCGATTTTTCTTAATTCTTAAATATATGATTAATGTCTATTTTATTTTATTTAATGAATTATCTATCAATTGTAGAACTCATAACTAAACATTTATAAAATATTGAAAGCCATTAAAAAATATATATGTCAGACTATGAGAAAGACAATAGATGCAATAGTGTGCAGAATAAGTCAAGCTGGTCGCAGTGCATACAAGCCTAAGTCCTACTCATAATCCATTACCATGTTAAAGACAACGTTTTGTTAAAGCAAAAAAAAAGGAAATAGAGATCATGATCTGTAATATGTTTATTAAATTAAATTAATACACTCTACACTGACTAAAATAATATTAACATTATTAGAAAATTGACTTTCTTTGATTAAGTACCTATTTTTATGTACGATAAAGTTAAAGTTGCAGGATACTGTCAAAGCGCGATCTTTTAACCTGAAATAGCCTGCAACGAGAAAGGCGTATGCTAAGCAATACAATGTTGTCTCTTTCTAAAAAGGGATGTTTATAGAAATTGCACACTGTCTTAGATTATATTAAATTTGAAGCAACTGTTTTAGCATTAAATGTTCGAAGGATTTGGTTCGAAAGGGTTTGTAGGGGGTGAAAAGTTCGAGGTATACAAGTGATATGAATTTCTATATGGTAATGCGAATAACGGATATATATTAAATTGACAAGTTTATAATCCCTTTGCTATTTATTATGATTTTTTTATTACAAGGATAAACAATGATGTCCTACTCTTCCTAAATATAGCTTAGTAATAAAACCATGCCGTGGAATTCCGTGGAATTCAAAACGTCTTTTAAGACCAGATGAAGCTATCGAAAATTTTTTCTGATAACCATAGCACTATAGGAAGAGAAAGATAAACTCTGCTTTTCAAAAATTTCGAAACATATTTTATTTTTAACTTCTTCAACATTAATTGATCGGAGGTGAGGTAGAGCTGGTTAGTCGGAACCATATCCCTTATGAACTGATACCAGTTTCTTAATAGAGTTTTGTATACACATGTCGAAGTATAATGTGCTTCATTTTGCTAAAGGTCTTTAAATTTAATGAAGGTCAGATAAAGCTATCGAAAACTTTTCCTGATAACCATGGCACTATAGCAAGAGAAAGGTATAGTCTGCCTTTCAAAAAATTATGAAATATATTATATTTTGCTTATACATCATTACAGTATGATACAATTTACTCTATTACCTATGTAGTAGAGAGATGTTAAAATTATTATGTAAAAATTATTATGTAAAAATTATTATGTTAAAATTATTATGTAGTAGTTTTTTTCTATCTAAGTAATATCATGTAAATATTTTCATATTTGAATAATTTTGCTTAATATTCGTGGTTTAACACAACCTACACCTAATTTAATAGCCAAGGTTTTTTATTAATTGAAATTGGATCACAAACATAGATAAGCAGCTCGCCTGTATTAAGTCCAGAAATTGGTTTATAAATGAGTTTTAATAATGTAACAAAAATATTTTTAGAGGGTTTTTGAGTAGCAAAGAAAGAAAGGAGTATTGCCGAGTAACTCATCATCAGTGGTCTTAGGAAATAAACGAATTCCTTAATTAGTTTATAGTCCGTATGTAATTTGTTTGGACTTCAAATGCCAGATTTAGCACTTCTTTGTCATTATAAGAAAGCGTAGCTTTTTCGGCAATACTAATAAAAACTTTAAAAAGATTTTTAATGAAAATTATAGAACAAGGCAATAACTCAAACATCACCATAATACTATAATACCCTAAGCTACCATAAAGTAATAATATGCCAAATTCATAAAAAAGTTTTAATTATTGTTAAGCTATTTCCTATAATAACTGATTTTTATGCAGTTTAACATATAAGCAAAAAACTGAATACTATAATAATATATATATGGTATATATTAATACTAAATATATGTTTGCATGATTACTTATTAATGAAATGATTTTGTATATATGTACATATAGAATATTGCTTCTAATTTTTTATTCAAAATTGTTATTACATGCGTTTAAAAAGTTTTTTTTTTTGCAATTGAATCTATTATTAAAAGTATATTATATATAAGACAAAAAAAAACCCAACTTTAATATTCTTAATAATTTTTTATATTTATAATAAACTGTTAGCACATGATTTACTGAAATTAAATATAATAGCAAAAACTATCACTGCTACTGTTTTTGTCATTTGTATAATAAAATTTTGTAAAAAAGTAGAAAATCATTTTGCTTGGAAGCTTTGTAGTAGTTTTCATAGGCATAGAAATGTGCCTTTGGACGCAGTATGTGTAGGCATATTGTCAAAAGGCTTTATAGTATATCACAGACTCAAATGCAACGCTTTCACCCATCATTAAAACTAAAGTGCACCACATTTTATGACATACAGGAAAGTCAACACATGAGCTCATGAGCAACTGAGGGAATGCAATATGCAACCCACACCAGAAATCACAACAACACTGAAATTGTTTGTTTAGCATAGATGGAAACAAATACAAAAAAGTAAAAAAAAAAAAAATTAAAAAATAATAAGAAAGAAATTTTAATCCAATTTTATTAAATTTCTTCTATAATTTTCTCTACCGCCTTAGTGCAATAAACGTTAACACATACCGCTGAATGCGCCAGTTCAAAACCACTGACAAGATCTGCAGCATAGCATTTGTAATGCATTTGCTCTGCGATGTTGGCATAGATCGCGGTGCAATGATCATTTATCATTTTTCAACACTTCGACGGTTTAACGTGCATTTTAAATTAATTTTGTTACAAAACACATAAACAAACAAAATCACATCTACAGCGATCTCTATGGAAATTACATATACCTAGAGCGCATTATTGGTATGGGTGCAATCAACACTAACATTTCATTGTCGATCAAACTATAATCGCAAGTACGAACGATCGAACGATCGTACGATACATCAAATTATATATCAGCAGATTTGATTGTTTTCCAATGGGCCACGCTGCAATTTTCCGCACCATTATCAGCCATGGCTACTGCTTTTGTTTGGTTCCAACGAAGCACAAGCGAGCCAAGCTGCTACCAAATCATTCACTGCTCATATTCCAATCGTTACACATAACCAATTCATCTGCTGTCTCAGCTTTCTTTTCTCGGAAACTCATTCTCTTCTTATTTTTGGATAAAAAATATTCACGCTGCGTTAATCTTTTTTTTTTTTGATAATTCTTTTCTTTTCTTTTTCATTTAAAAATGAATTATATTTTTATATTTTTTATTAATAAATACCAAAAATGTTTGAATTGTTATTGTTGTTTTATTACTCTTAGTGTTGTTGTTGTTGTTATAATGAAGCACTTTTCACAGCTCTTAATAATTAATGCATTTATTATTATTTTTAATGTTGACTTAGACTTCAAAGTTGTTAAATAATTAATTTTGTATGTTTGATTAATTCATCGTTGAACATTCACTTTTCACTATAATCTGTTATCTTTATTTGTTATAACTAATTTTCTTCTATTTTCCTTCTTTTCTTTCCCCTCTCTTGAACTGTTATTGCCTTTTCGTAATGACAGCATACGACAGCGATGATGTGGAGGAACTTTTCGTGCCGTCCGATGATGAGATTAAGGAGGGTCAATGGTTGGGCGTTACTGTACGTTCACAAGGACTAGGAGGCAAGGTAAGTGTTAAGTGTAGATTAACACCTACGATTTTATTTTACACAATAAATTTTGTTAACATCTTAAGGATAATTATAGATTCCATATCTATAATTATCCTTAAGATGTTAAGGATGCATTTTTGATAGAAATAATATTGTTTTACTCTAAACACATATATGTAAAAAGGCATAGACTTATATTATTGAAGCGCTTCAATAAATTCACAGAACGGAAATATGAAAACGGATTTTTAGTTGCAAAATAACCTTATTGTTTTGTATAATCATCCTCAACTTCAATATGCAGGTCTGAAAAATATCCCTCTATGTTAGCTAGAAAGTAATTTCATTTAACTTCTATATTACAAATAATAACAACTGTAAAACCAAAAAAACAACAAGGGTTCCATTGTTTTTAATGAGATTACATTGTAGCCTGCGTAGCTAGCCGGCGTCATCTGAAGCTAAGTACTTTATATTCTTATCCTCACAGAAGAAAGAGAATATCAATGGAATGACTTAAATTGCAATTGCCCTGACTTTGTTCGGGTTAAAAAGAAGCTTAAAGAATGCTATGCTCTGTAAGATATTAAGCATTAATACGATTTTGTAATCATAGAATGAGATGTTAATGAAATAAGTTTATTCTCCCTAAATTTCAACAAATAAAAAAGAGAATTTTAGAGCGTCGCCTGCCATACGACACCTGTCGGTGGTAATAAAAACCTGTAGCTCCTCCATAATTTAAAGCTTTATATTTTATTATAAATTTAGTTAAAGTTTTGAAACATTTCTGATAATAATAGGTAAAATACTAGAGACTGTGTATATGGTAAAACTATATTTATTTTATAGTTTTTAAGAAAAAAAAATATAGTAAATAAAATTAAGCTTAAGTTAATATATAAAACATTTTTTTTAAGTTCTATAGTATAACAAAGACTTATAGTCGGAATAACATTAGCAATTAATTTTAATTTTAGAAACTATAAAACGTAAACTGACAAATTCATACATTACAAGTGTATATAATTCTAACATTCCCCGTTTAAAGTTATCGACCCTAATTTAATATGTTATTTTAACATTGAACTTAATCTTTATAAAGTATTTCACATTATTATGTCATAAAAATATCTATAATATTTCATATCAAACAACAAAAAACAACCTACCATGAGGTCATCGAAATTGGTTCACGACTCTATTGTAGAAAAATTTAACCAAATAAAAACTGAATATAATAGAAAAAATGAAATTAGTTATTAATTAAACAATGTCTTAATTAATACATAAAATTATTATGTTGAAATTCACTCATAAATCATTTTTTGTTTCAAACCTTTTCATTATTGTTTTTTTTTTGTTTTTCGTTTATAGGTTTTGGTCTGCGCCCATCGTTACATTACAAAAATACGTGAAAATCGCTATGGACAAGGCCTATGCTATGTGCTGACTAATGAGTTGAAATACGACGAAGTGTACGAGCCATGCAAAGGCCGTACTGTGCAAAGGTATGTAATGATAATACGAAGTCATATTATATCTAATGTTAGATGATAAGTTTTTTTTATGTTGGCGGTTAGTGCTGTGACATTTTGTGAAATTAAATTTAAAAAAATTTTTCTTTAATATAAGGAAAAGGCTTAAAAATCTTAAATGTGAGCCAAACATGATTTAAAAAGCCTCAAGTCTGAGATATTTTTACATATAAGTAACAAAGACCTGAATACTTTAAAATGAATATTACTGATATTGGGTATTTGCCTCAACATATTAATATTTTTTCAAAAACTATTTTATAAATGAAAGAAAAATATCAAAGAAGTTGTACATTTGATAAACTCTCTAGTAATTCATTGGATAGTGAGGCTGTAATTCAAGTTCTGAATTTAACCAACACAATCTCTTACCTAGTGTAATAAAGCGGAAGGAATGAAACCGCCTTAAGTGAATGGTATGTTTCCCTTTTTTGAGATCCGGGACGTCAAAATATTGAGAGAATCTAAAAAACTGCTGAACTAGCATGAGGATGTGACAATTAAAATATATATTCAGAAACGATTTTTATGCCATTGAAACTGGCTGAAAGAGCTGTAAATATCAAATACATAAAATAGTGAATCGTACCTAGAAAAATTTTGTATAGTATAAGACGCATGAGCGTAGCCAGGAAGGCAAATTAGGGAATTATTAGGGAAAAATTTTTCACTTAACAGATCTGTTATTTAAATAAAGTGAACAATGAAATTACAATGATTATTATTTAATTTGCTGAGAAAATAAAAAAGAGACTATCAAATTGGGAATCTGGTTTCAATTAATGCACCAGACTATCTACATGTCCAAATGCTCATACAACGCTTGGTAGGTTTTAATTGTAGCTTTAAAATCCTACAACTTTGTTATATCTATGATAGTTAACATACTCTAACATTTACAGTGCTGCCTTAAACTGTTATCAACAGTACTCCTACTCTGTTAAAAACAATATGCTCATGATAATTATTTGAACTAACCCTTAACCCTTAGCATAACAATTGTCAAACTAAACAATTTTTTAGTAAAAATATGATTAAATCCAACTGCTTTAATATGAAATGAATAATTCTTAATAATCTTACAATTTTTTATACAATAAATACTTTACAAGAACTCATCGTCTGACTTCATTATGTTAGTCACATTTTCACAGCATAACAAATGTATGATAAACGAGTGTGCTGACCTTCATAAAAATTAAACTGCATAAATTATAAAAACTTAAATGAAGTCACAAAAAAAGAATATATATAATAAAAATAAGAATAAAAATTAATTTTAAATTCCTTCATGCTTTTGCGTGTTCTACATTCATGAATTCCGCTGAAGTCTGAAATCCTTTTAAAATATTTGAACCTCACATAATTCTGAGCGCTTGAAGTAATCAAACAAAATGAAAACATAAACATTTATCAAAATAACACAAAGAAGTAAATTAAATATGGAAAGAACGAAATATGCAAACTCATAGAAAAACATAAAAAATAATAAAAAAATATATATTATATACATAATATATATGCAAAAGCATACCGCCACGTTCGGAACCAACTGATAAAAAAGGATGCCAAGGTGAAACGTCAAGGAACTCATTAAATATGCGCGTGTCTTTTCGCTTTTTATCATTTGGTTTTTGGTCAACAAAAAAATGGGATTGGGCCTTGCCCAACTAAAAGTGTCCAATATAAAACCCTTTTAATTATCCTTCAGTATACACGTATGCAAAAGTGTGATGGCACCAAAAAAGAAAACAATTAAATAATGCTTAATTGCTTAGAAATTGAAAGTGGAGCGCGGAATGCGTGAGTGGATGTCATTTGCAACACCATTTTTTTTGTTATTTTTTAAGTTTAATTTTATTAATTTTTTTTTGTTTTTTTATAAACAAAAAGGATTCATTGTCCTTCAAGTAAGCATAAAAACACACAGTTTTAGTTGATTAACTCAATATGTTAAAGAGAGTAACATGCTGTACTCCTAACCTTATTTCGAATATTTCACTTTAGGAGTGTTAACAGAGAAATTAATGCCTAGTTGGGGGTTAAAGTGTTCCATGGAGATAACATGGAATGACTTAATTTTATCATTCTATTAGAAGTACTAATCCAAGGGAGTGGGAATATAAAACTTGTTGGCTGAACTGATTTTTCATTAAATTTGGTTATCCTTGACATGCTTAGTTTCCGTAATTGATTGAATTATTTAAATAGTTTTTTGATAGTAATATTATTGTTATTATTTAATTCTAAAGAAATTTACCTAACCGCATAAGTTAACGAGTTACTAATTTATTATCTTTATTATTTTATCTTAATTTTGTTATATTTAACTCACAAGTTCAATTGATAAACTAATTTGTTGCATTCTTAAACTCGTATCATAGTAATTTTTTTATGGATTGTTAGTTTGTGGTAATCAGCACTAAAATAGTTTATTGTTCTCACTTAAAGAATAATAATCGATCATTTAAAGCTTTAAGAAAGATTTGTTAAAGAAGCTGAAGATCGAACTTATCTTAACTACATACAACTTCTGCTTAACCAATCTTAATTTCTATGCACCGTTTATTTTCCTACTAGTTTTTGCAACCAATTAGCAGAAAATGTTAACTGATTCATTGTTTTACCAATGTGGAAGTCAACTATTAATAATATTCCCTTAATATTCCAAAAGACTGATTCTAACACCTATATATGTTGTTGTTGTTGTGATTTGAGTTAGCGCTATTGCGTACTTTTACTCTATTGTGGCTGAGGGGCTTATCGCTGCCCCAGACTAAACTTTAACTATACTAGAATCATTATCATTTATTTATTTTCTAACTGATGACGAACCGTAGATCAGCATATCTTCCTGTGCGTCCTGAGGTGGGTTTAAGGTTTGTTAGAGCGGGGTTTGGGCAACGTATCAACTTATGTGAATAACACCTTATTTGTCGATATTTGTAAACAAATTTGTTTTGAGAGGCCTAAGTGTATTTTTCAAATCAAGATAACTATGGTAGATCTGAGTCGCATGTATAGTGATGAAGCGGCATACAAATTCTTTTTTTCTCGCTAAAATACAGCAAATGACATACTCTCATTTGCGTTGTTACTGCATTGTAAAGAAATGAGCAATAATAGAAGATAGGGGAGAATAAAGAATTCATTCTGTTTCATCTTCATTTTCAGCTATTCTTCTTATAAGAAGAATCAAAAACTTCAAAATTTTTACAAAATTCTCTTAAGTTGATCTTTTTTGATCAATCAACGAGTTTCCAAACTCATTATGTTTTTCTTCAACGAATTGTAGTGTTGATACAGCTTTAGGGCGTCCTTCTCATGAGTCGTCTTCAATGTTTCTACTATCATTTTTAAACAAATCGGCCTCAATCCAATAGCTTGTACACATAAACCAGAGGAACAGATCGAACTAAAATTTTGGTCAGATTTCTTATGACTTATGAAATATGAAATATAAAAATGGCACCAGAGTTTTACTTCTATTGACAAATTGATGGCGCTCTATAAAGTATTGAACAATTTGGTATGCAATATGCAATTGCGAAGCAAAACCCTAAGAGACTTCTGAAATTAAGAACTCCTGAATATGAAAATAATACAAATGATAGTTATATATAGATTATATCGTAAGTAAAATAAATAATGGTAAACTACAGTTAAAAAATAATTAAAATTGTGCAAAACATCTTATACGAGATGAATGATTTTAATATTGTATCGGGTATTTGAAGACAGCAATCTTTTTATTCCACAAGACTACTTATCTGCTCTACACAGCTCGGTACTTGTCTAAGAGGATAGTTATTTATCTGATCTATACTGTTCAGCACTTATCCGATGAAGTCTATTCTTTGAAGATTTTCGATTTCATAAAACACAATCCAACATCAATAATATGTGCATTGAGCTATTAACTGCTTCATCATAATGACAAAGTGGTCTTAAGTAGAGGTGTCTTTATCTAAAATACATTCAGTCCGTTACCGCCAGTTTTTATTTACTTTAAACCTCTGGTAAGTGGCGCCATTATGCAATAGAATTTGCGTGTTTGCCAACAACAAGGACTCTATTATGCTGAATATGTCCCACATGAGCATTTATAAAATAATTGATGTGCAAGGAATAATTATAATTCCATTACTTCACAACTGAGAACTGAGAAGCACGACTGAGAACTGAAGTAACAAGGACAAGACTGTTGATGTTAATTAAATTGATGTGTGTAATTTACATACAAAAATAATCTTTTTATTTGATATGAAAAATAAAACTGTCACTTCTCAGAAAAATAATTTAATAAATTAATAATTTCACTTTAATTATTTTAACTTTAACGTTTTATACATTTTTATACTCAGCGATGTTGTATGCAAATGAAGTAATTTTATAGACAAGTACCACAAATCGCATGTCCTCAACTTCACACTCCTTGCGCAGTTGTAAAGATAATTTTTCAAGGATTGGCTAATGGTTGTATATGTTTCTGACCACTCCAATATTTTATATATGACATTGTCACACTTTTCTTCTTCAAAAAAAAAAAAATGAAAGCGAAATAAAAAGCATTAAAAATTATTACAGTAAAATGGCGTCTGTGTTTCATTAAAAGGACATTTGAAAATATGCGACAGCTTTAAACTGCTCCTTTTTAGTACTTTAAAGACATTACATTTCTTAATTGCAATATAAAATTATATAAATTTTTATTGCAATAATAAAAATTTGCATTTATTCTCTTGAATTTTTCAAAATAATTCCTTTAGCACTTAATAATTTGTTTTTATTATTTTATAGAGCACATGAAGACTATGGCTTCTGTCAAGTAGGCACCTCAGGTGCGCTATTGGACGACAATACCATGGTTTTGGGCACACCAGGTCCTTTTACTTGGCGTGGTACAGTTTTTGTTACGGAAATCGGTGGTGAATATCTAGAACGTGATAAAAATATGTATTATGGTGATCACTCGGATAACTCTTCACCAGTGGACAAATACAGTTATTTGGGTAAATAAAAACTTCTCGAAGTCAATGCTTTATATACGATATCATATCATATAATCACATATCTATATGATTTTAATTATATTTTAAAATTTAATAAATATATATAACATTTAATCATAATATGTATGCACAGGCATGGCGGTAACTGGTGGTCGTTATTTTGGTGAGCGTATGTCATATGCTGCCGGTGCACCACGTTCTAATGGTCACGGTCAAGTAGTTATTTTCAATAAAGCAAGCACAAGTCCAATACCAGTAAAGATGATTATCGAAGGTGAACAGTTTGGTTCTAGTTTTGGTTATGAACTAGCGACTGCTGATGTTAATGGTGACCACAAACCCGATCTCATAGTAGCAGCGCCATTTTACTTTAGTAAAACCGAAGGTGGTGCAGTTTATATTTATCAGAATGAAAAGGATATGCTTCCGCAGAAAGCAACACTAAAGCTAACCGGTACCATAGAGAGTCGTTTTGGTTTAGCACTAGCAAACATTGGTGATATTAACAAAGATGATTGTGAAGATTTAGCTATAGGCGCACCATATGAAGGTGATGGTACTGTATATATTTATTTGGGTTCTCCTACTGGTCTTAAAGATAAACCAGCACAACGTATATATGCTTCGGAATTAGGTCTTCTACCGAAACCATTAAAAACGTTTGGCAGCTCAATTGCTGGTGGCACCGATCTAGATGGCAATTCATATCCTGATATTGTTGTTGGTGCTTATAATTCTTCTGCTGTATTGGCGCTACTATCACGTCCAATTATAAGTATACAAACAACATATCGTGGCAATGAGTTAAAAAATATTGATCCCACAAAACAAGGTTGCCTTACCGATGCTTTTACTAATTTAACTTGTTTCACATTTGAGGCTTGTTGTTCTATTGATCCTTATGAACAAACATCTGCTAATAAGGATTTAAGACTAATGTATACCATTGAGGCTGAGTCATATTCGAATCATAAAAAATTTTCACGAGTATTTTTCGATCGGGAAAATAAACGCAGCAATGTTGTGAAACGAGAGGTGACAGTACGCACTGACGGCAGAATGGCCTGTGAACGTGTGACAGGTTATATTAAGGAGAATACAAGAGATATACAGAGCCCCATACGCTTTCATTTGAATTACACAATTGTAGAATCAAAACTACCAAATTCAGGATTAAAACTGCTTAATCCAATATTAGATAAAACGCAAGCCTATATTGAGTTTGAAGGTACATTCCAAAAGGATTGCGGTGATGATGATGTTTGCGAGAGTAACTTATTACTAAATGCAGAAGTGGATCTGAATGTTGAAAGTAGGTTAAAATATCTTGAAATTTATGTGCTTGAATTTATTTTGACTTGTACTTTGCAGATGATAATTATGCACTCATACTTGGTGCTGAAGAGGAAATACGTGTCAATGTAAATGTTTCCAATACTGCAGATTCTGCTTATGAGGCCCAGCTTTTTATAGTGCATCAGCAAAGTGTTTCGTACATAGCCACTGTGAAGACTGTAAGTTAGCCACTTAAATAGTGACTAAAAGGCTATGACTATTTGTATGTAATCATTTATTTCAGACCACCGCCATCTGTACTCGTTTTAATGAAACGGTTGTCGCCTGTAGTTTAGGTAATCCAATGCTACGTAATGCAGCCGTGCAGGTTTCAATACGTTTTGATCCCAGTGGTTTGGAGTTAAATGAGCGAAAACTGACTTTCGATGTGTTTGCCAATACAACATCTAAGCATATTGGAGAGATAGAACCGAAAACAAAGTTGGATGTGAATGTAGTGAAGCGTGCATCATTGAGTGTGCAAGGTTGGGCGGTACCGGAACAGAATTTCTATAGTGGTGAAGTAAAATTGAATAGTTCTATGATGGAAATGGAAGATGTGGGCTCACAGCTATTACACACTTATCAGGTAAGTCAAATATAATAATGGACTATGGAAAGTATATTTTTATAAACTAATATCTGGGGGCATACTTTACAGTAATACTGTACTCTAATCGGTTTATCAATTTTCCAACTACAATATATATTTTTATTTACAGATTTATAACGATGGTCCATGGAAAGCACCCAAAGCAGTTCTAACCATTTATTGGCCATATCAACTGTATAACGAACAAAATAAACAAGAGAAATGGTTGCTTTATTTGGAATCCATACCAATTATAGAAAATGTACGCCAAGGCGAATGCTTTGTACCACCGGAATACGTGAATCCACTAAAATTAACTTCAAAATCTAACACAAATTTACTTATGGATACATTATTACTGGGCCCTGCTGCATTCATGATGCGACCTACAAATAAGACACAATTCTCAAGTCGTAGTCGTTTAGTGCAGAGTGAAAAATACACGTCTAGCAAGCGATCAACCACAGCAAATCGTGTACGTCGTGATATGTTAACGAGAATAATACGACCCGAACGTTTTATGGACGCAAGGGATAGCAGAGATAAAAAACGCGATATAGTCGAATTGGATTGTAATAAAGCCACAGCCTCCTGCATAAAAATAAGATGTGAAATCTATAATATGGCGGCAAAATCAGAGGTTAACATACATATAAGAGCACGTCTGTGGAATTCAACTTTGGTCTCAGAGTATCCCAGAGCAGATTTAGTGAAGATAATTTCAACAGCACAAGTGAAAATACCTTTAGAATATGCAGTAGAACAGACTGAAGAGCATGAGAGCATAAGTGTAAATAATTTATATATATATATTTAATAATAAACAAATAAATGATATAATTATGTACTTCATTTGCAGGTTGAAACACGTGCCTATCCAGAATTATCAGATCAGCAACGTGAAACCTCTTTAGCTACTTGGGTTATAATATTAGCAGTCATAAGTGGTTTGCTAGTATTGGCAGTATTCACATATATAATGTGGAAATGTGGATTCTTCAAGCGGCGAAGGCCCGATCCAACGTTAAGTGGAAATTTAGAAAAAATGAATGAGAAGAAACCATTTTTAAACACAACGAATAATCAAAGAGGTTTCTAACAACAAGGGACTGTTGGGTGGGATCTAGCGCAGCGAATGCCACCTAAAAAGAAAAGGAAAAATAAATTTAAATTTTTTAAAAATAATTCTGTTTACGAAGTGCATAATAACAATAACAATGTTGACATTACCAACAATAACAATAATTGCAATAACAATGGCGGTATAATTGATGATAATGCTGCCGGCATTATCGATTGGGGAACCTTTTGGTAGTGCAACATTACGAGGGAGCTATTGTATGTATTTTATGTAAATGTGCCATTTTGGTTACTTAATTTAATTTGTAGTATATTTGTTAATTTAAATTTAAAATGGCTTAGTTAAGTTTAATTTAATGTAATTTAATTTAATTCTTTGTATAGTAAATTTAGTTTAGTTAAAGGAACTCAAAGTTCCTCAAGTTGAAGAGGTTTTGTAAAACGATTGACACACTCAGTATCGTATTAATTAGTGGACTCAAATAATTGTAAAAAATGAAAAACTGAATAAAGGCTTAATCATATAATCATTCATAAAAAAAGAAAGTGACTAGATAAGAGGTAAAGGGCATGGTTATAAGTTTACAAGTCAGAGTTTACCACAAATTAATAGCCTCGAACATCTATATCTAAAAGTCGCGTTTGCCAATAACGGTCTGCTTTTAATAGATATATCTGAAGTGTAGTTGAAATTTGTAAAAAATTACTAAAGTAATGTAATTATATGTTATGAATTGTAAAAATTTACTTATAGCTTGTAATAAATATTTAGAAAATTCCGAACGAATATATATTCAATACGATGAATAATGATGATTAGTCTTCTAGGTTTTACATAAAAACTGCCAATTAGAATTTTTGCATTTTTATAATACATACATATAAAAAACTAAAGTGAAATCATTCAATAAATGTTAAAAATATTATTTAGATTTAATCTTATATACATATATATTATGTGGTTTATAATTATATGTTTTGTATATATGCGATTAATTTTTATTAATTATTTTTATTAACAATAAATTTTGTAAATTTTTTTTATTTAATGTTCTGTAGAGAAAACTCGAAAGTATTAATGCAATATATTTGTTAAAAACGTTATAATAAAATTTTTAAGAAAATTAAGACAGCGAACAAACACAAATTACTTTTAAAACTTTATTCTCTTTTAAACCAAAAATAAAAAATTCGCTATTTACCATGGCTCTATAAACTAAAACAAGCTAAAAAAATAAAACAAATAAAATTAATAACAGAAAAATAAAGTATTTAGTTTATTTAAATAAAATATTTAAATATAAAATAATGTATTTAAATAAAATCAAATTAAATACCATAAGAAAGAAAATATAAAAACAAAAATAAAATAAATTTAATTTAAAATTGTATAAAATTAAAAATAAAATTAAATAAATTAAAAAAAAAAACAAAACACAAAATAATCAAATAATCTAAAGAAATCGATTTAATAAAAGTAAAATAATGGAATACAATTTGAAATAAATTTAATGAAATGAAATAATATAAAACAAAATTAAAAATAATTTAAAATTAAATAAAATTAAATAAATAAAAATTAAATAAGATGAACCAATTAAAATTAAAAACAATGAAAAAATAAATAAATTAACTAAACTAAATATAATATTTTTAAAGCTGAGAAAACATAAATAAAATTAGTAACATACAATAATGTGACAACAAATAAAATTTATTAAATTAATTTAAATAAATAATACAAAACAAAATAAAAGAAAAAGCAAAATAAAATAAAATATAATGATGTAAAATTGAAAATGTAGAAATATAATAATATATTATAAACAAAATAAAGAGAAATTATGAAATTAATAATATTCATAATAATAATATTCATTCACAATAATTCAAATAAAATCCAAATACACAAAAAATATTAATTAAATTATATTTAATAACATTAATTAATATGAAATAAAATAAAAAAACAATAAAATAAGCTAACAGAAGACAGACTAAAATAAAAACGAATTAAATGTAAAACAAAATAATATATGACAAAGTGAAATATATAATAATATAACATAATAAATTAACAATAAAATTATTTAAAACAAATCATTACGTAGTAAAATATAATAAAATAACTACCCAATAAAATAAAATAAAACACAATAAAACAAAAAACAAAACAACAGAATTAAAAAAAATTAAATTAAATAAAGTAAACAAACATGCTGAATGCAATTAAAGAAAAATAAATAAGAAATTAATATTTATTTTTAATTTATTACTACTATTTAAAAGTGTAGAATGAAATTTCTATGATTAATTTATAAAGCATTTATAACCTTTCGTTTTTAATGCAATCATAAATTCTCTGTACGAATAAAAACAATATAATTAACTTAATTAAATTAATTAATTGAGAAGTAATTATAAGGGCTGTTTTGAAAATTTTACCATCTATAACAAAATATTCAAATAAGATAGCATAATAAGAAATAACATAATAATAATATAATAGCTAATAACGAAGTTCCGACGAACTTACAATATTTTTTATATATGTATATCTTCCTAATTTTATTAACAGCCCGCGTAAATTATATACAACTATAATAGTTTTTAAATTAATTTTAAGTTTGTAAAAAACCTGATTTATGTCTAAATTTACTTTTAAAAAATATTTTTAAGTTTTAAACTATAATTAATTTTAATTGGTTTGTATCATTGTGGTACGTTTTATATAAAAATATTGTAAATTATTTTTTATTTAAATTTTGTATTTAAATAAATTTATATAATATATATTTTTTACTAATTGAAAATATATATACAAAATAAATATGTATAAAAAATTATCAAAAAATTTGTTTTGGAATTAAGTTAAAGACTATTAGAGGGGTTTTCGAATAGCAAAGAAAGAAATAAAGGACAAACACAAAAATTTATTTTAATTTTTTATTGAAGTTTGGCTGACTATACAACGCTGTTTCGAGTATGGCCAAGTACTCTTCATCAGTGGTCTTTGGAATAATCGAATTTTTATTTAATTAGTTTATAGTTATAGTTAAAGACTATTTTGTAAGCAGTCTTATTTTCAGACAGATAAAATATTTTAATAAATTAAGATATATGGAAGCTGTTCACACAAACCATAATGAAGTCATTATAAAGTCCTTAATGTTTAATTTGAAATATTTGAAATACAGCAAATAAGTGATTTTTATTACTATTTCGCTGGTCTTATTCATATCTTATCTTATATGATACCTATATACCTATATATGATATGTTATGGTCTTAACAAAATGGTTTGCAAGGGCTAAGAGTAAACAAATTTGGCTTTCATTAACACCTCTTGAACTAAAAAACTAATTAATTAATTATAACATCCCAATCGGGAAAATTTTAAAACTAAAGTTCTAGAGTAACGAAACGCACCTGGAGTCTGTTGCAGACTTGCCCTTAAAATAGTTTTATGAAGAAAAGAATTGTTTATTTAGCGGTAATTAAAAATAAATGAAGGTTTTTGCTAAATGAAGTTGTGTGTGAACGTGGCATAACTGAAATTAACTTACGCAGTTGAAACTATAAATTTCGAACTTTAGTTTTGAATCTAAAAAAAATTAAATTAATCAAGTTTTCAGAAATTTTTATGTTTTAACTTTCAAAAACGTAGGTTAAAGAAAAATTTTTATTAATGTTATAGATACGAATGAAAAAAATTCGTTATAAAAAATTCTTCGTTTTAATATTTGAAAATTTGATAACATAATTTCAAAATTTGGTGTTTTACTCTAAATTGAACATATCTGAGGCTGTTGAATAAATATGACTGAGACGATGAATGGTCAAGGTGCAGAAGTGCATTTTGCGGTTTTTGAAAATTTTAATTTTGGAGAGCCTATAAATTCGATTGATATCTCAAATGATGGTATCCATCTTGCAGCTGTAAGTAATCACACTCTTTCACTGCTGAATTTATTAGAGAACAAGTTGAGTAAGATTCCGCTTACTGCCCGCAAAAATGCTAACGCTGCAAAATTTAACCAGGATGGAGATAGTTTGTTTATAACAGCGGAAAAACCCAATGTTAACTTTGTGTTGTACGATATTGAAAAGAGTATTGCTGAAACTGTTTTTCAAACTACGTGTCCTGTTAACAATATTTCCGTAGGCAAGAGCAAAAGCTTACTTGCAACTAGTTCCAGTAATAATATTATTAATTTATGGGACGATCGTACTTGCCGTTCAACCTTGTGGAACAAAATGTATGGGTCAGGAGTCGTTAAGTTATATCCAAGATGTAACTGTCTCCTTGCAGTAAACGACTTTGGTATATCTTTGTACGATTTACGGAAATTTGCTTTTGGACCTCATACAACCTATATCTATCCTGGACACTACGATGTTAACAGTTGTATAGATGTATCGTGTGATGAGAGCAAGTTTTTCGCAACTAGTGTAAAAAATACTGTCGATTTATTTTCAACGGATGCTGCGACTCCAGTGCTTGAGTATATAAATGACATGGATTTCCAGAAAGTACAATTACATGCAGGCTTTGACAAATATTCCTCTGCAATCTTTATTGGTAATGCAGCAGGTGGTCTTGATGTCTACGACTGTTTAAAAAACAAATTTAAGTATGAATTTCCTCAGCCAACCTGCACCGGTCCCGTTCAACATCTTGCAGTTAATCCTGTTTTCATGTCTATTTGTACAACTCTTGGAAATTTGTTACATATTTGGAAAAGCAATGAAAATCTCTTGCCCTATGACGATGAAGACACCAAAACTGATCCTCTGGAAACTAATATCGTGGTCTAACTTCACTTATAATCATATTTTTATATGGTGGTGAATCAATAACGGTTTTGTTTAAATAACATCCTGATCTAAATTCTTCGATAATTGATCATATGTTTATGTGGTTGTGGGTCAATGACGGTTTTGTTTAAATAATATATATTTCTTGAATTGTTACGACTAACACAAATTTTCAGTTACATTTGTTCTGTGTACTTTTGACAATTGAATGTAAAAGTATATAAATGCTCTGAAACAAACAAATTTATGTGTTTTATTGTTAAGTTCTGCAATCTTAAGATCTATTTTGCAGTTTTCATGGATTTAGAGTATTTCTCTGAGTCAAATTTTCTCAATAAATTATATTATATTCTTCGTATATAAGCTTTATATCTTGTTTTTGCATCTGTGCCGAGCCTGCTTACGCCTTGACAGTATTATTGTTAATCACTTCATCAGACTAAGCAATAATTGACCTTAGGTCTGCATACCTCCCCGAGGAGCCGATTATACGACAATACATTGTCGTATTTGAATAACACGAAACAAAACAATTTCGCATTTGAACAATTAACTTCTTATGCGAATCTTCGCTCTACTAATATTTTCGTAGGGCCGTTATATAGGAGATATCAACTTGTTACATTAAAACAATTTAGTTCTCAATTACAGGATTCTTTAATATATACCTTATTTTTGAAGACCCTACATTCAAACGAATTGAAGTTATCTAGTTCTATCAAATGTTATTATTATAGTGATCCATAACATGAAAAGTATTATTGGTAATCATATGGACCTGACGACCGTTATGATTCCATTTGGGTATGACAATCACTTCCTCTTTCACAAGCAAATAAATTCGACTAATTCTATTTTTGCAAATTTTTCGAATTAGAAATTTTCTAAGAAAGACCTTTACATTTGTTGGTAGAGAGACTGCTTGCTATATCATTTTCTCCTTTACTTATTTTCGCTTTGCACAAAGGTATGCAAAATTTTCACTTAAAATTGTGTGCACGCAAATTCATAATATTTTGTAGCATAGCATAAGGGGCAGCATATGGTCTCAATTATAGATTTTTCTAGAATCCGAGTTTAATTTACATGGAAATTCCGCCCCCCCAAGTCTAGACGAATTTTGTTTTACCATTTAATCACACAGGTTAGTTTTCTATATAATGATCAAAAATGCTTTTATTTTCAATATAATGATTGAAAATGCATATATTTTTAATTTCAAAATATTAAATTAATTTGCAATAAGAGTATAAAATTAGTTTTTGTTAAATTTATTATACGATTATATGTATAATTTATGACGTAGGTTTAGAAAATCAAAATTTACTTTATTTGTAATAATAGAGCTTTTACAAAATAAATATTGTTTTACAGTTATTCCATCATTATTAGGATTGGCTTAATGAGAAATAATATGGTATTCAGTACCACGTCAAACTACTACGTAAATTAATAGAAGAATTTAGAGATTAGCGCCAAGCTTTCCTCCAGCGATAGCATTTAATAAAGACTATCCGCATTCGATGAACGTGGCTTCTTAAGTTTTTCCAAATTCTTAATGACAATATCATGTAATGAAGAATAACGATTTCTCACTTCGCACACTACCAACCATAAACTCAAGTATTCCTTTTCATCCAGTTCGACGACGGCACGCCGATAGTCATCGATGTGCGGATACTTTGCTACTTTTGATACAACTTTCGCACGCGACAAGAAATAACGGGATATCTGATCAAAGAATGCAGCAGCCTCCGATTCAACAGCTTGTATTTCAGCTAAAGTATCCTCTTGCACCGACACACCAAAATTATTTCCATCCTCAATTTTCGGTATCATAAATGAAATCCACATTTTCAGCAAATTGGCTATTAATAAATATATAGTTTAATTTTATGAATTAATTTAATAATAATAAATATATTTACTTACAATCTTCAACGAGTTTACGAATTATTGGTTTAACAATTCTAATCATATCGCAAAGTGGCTCGTTGCATGCAACTGATCCAGTTGCTAAGAACATTACCTTAACGCCGGTTGTAGAAATATCGTTGCGTGGTCTCTTTGCTGAAGGTTGTTGATCCACACCATCAAGATGCGTATCGTCATGATTATTCACAGTTATAGGATCAGGTATTGGAATGTTTAAGTCCTGATGCACTTCATTGAAATTCCGCTCGCTGAACATGGGAGTAGACAGTAATTCATTTAATTCTACGATTTTTTCTGGGAAACCCTGTATGATTAAGTGTTCCGCTTTTTGTATGAGAGAATCTTTATATTCTTGTACCTGTTGTGAAATTAAAAATTAGTAATACTGAAGAAATTCGGCTTTATATTTATAAATGATATTTACCTTAGCTACCGTATCGTTTGACATGATGAATCTTTTTTCAACTGACAGAGTGCTTCGTGTGACAAATAATCAAAGATAGTCGCGTGTTTGTTGCTCTTAGTATTATTAAAATGTTTTTGCAATCGAAGAAATTATATTCAATTTATATAACTTTAAATAAAGAACTTGTCTACAAACATAAATACTTTAACAAACGCGAGCCAATATTTCTACAATATTATACTACCAAACCACACTACGCTTGGTTTTGTTCTTATTCCATTCGCAATGTGTGCGGCACACAATGGTGCCAAATCATACAAAATAATTGTTTGACATTTTAAAGTTCATTCATTGCAAAATGTCAGGGTTGTTATTTATAAAAATTATTCTCTTACACCTGTTATATCGTTTTTATTATATATAATATGAATCGATATTAATTAAAACGAATACCATATTTATTTAATCTTTGATTACAGAAATTAATAGCGTTCGATATAGTTTTAAAATAGTAAAACATATTTTTGACTTTTGTTTTAGTTTTGCTCAAACTTCATAAATTTTTTTAATATATGTTCTTATTAGGTCTTTTCCACGAGCTGCTCGTAGTAACTTCAAGTAACACTGTGTAAACACAAGTGCGTTCCACCATCAAATTTACGAATAAATGAGAGCATCTGAGAGCGTTACGTCCCTGTCAAAATTTGAAAATGCTACATAGACTTTATTTTATTTCAAGTAAAATTTGTGTTGATGTGTGAATCAGCTGTTTTGGTTTAAATTAAAATTTTTGTATTGTTTATTGGCGCGACACTGGTGTTCTCACCAGACTTTACACAAAGCTGTTCCATGAAAATCTGTGTAAAGAGCGTAATTTGGCACTTTATTTGTGTTACGCTCTTAGTTTGCACTTAACTTGAGTTTTACAACGAGTAGCTCGAGGAACAGATTTATTTATTCATATATATATACTTATATATATTACAATATATTTATAATTAAATATATTTAATATACGCTATTTAAAAAATCATCGAATGCAAATTTATTCCCATAGCCAAGGTTTCCCAGAGTTTCAATCATTTTAAAGACGAGAGTGAGATATACTCAACAAATAATAAATATTATTTAATTGTTTAATGCATTAACTACATTTCGTAAAATAGTTCAAAGTTAAAAAAATTGTTTTTAAATCATAAAAACAAATAAAGTAGGTGAAAACGTATAAAGTCAAATCGATTTATTTTATAAATCGGAATTTCCGTTTCAGAACACATTACATATAGAAAATGTTTTTATTAACCTAAAATGTCTCATTTAGAAAAACTATTGCAAATAATTTGCTGCATCTTTAGTTCTGCAGAACATTAATAAACTTAGAAATTCAAATTATTTTTTTTTTATAAAATTTTGAAAATAAAATAAAATGTGCGACCTTAAGCAATAATAATAGTGCTGCCAAGTTCGTTAGTAAAGATTATGTTAAATAAGATCAAAATTGAAGAAAGTAAAGTTTTAAAGTTATTGAAATCAATACCGTAATATTATAAACAAAGACCGTAAGATAGGGTTTATGTCAATGATTATTTAAAACATAAACCGTACATTTTAATATGAACAATAATATAAAACAGGGTTGTTCAAAATTCACTTACAGAAAACAAAAAATTTTTACTATACTTTTATAATGCAATAGCTAATGATTTAGTTCGTATTAATTATATGATAAAATTATATTATTAAAAAAATATAAAATTATCACCTACGAAAAAAAGTAATATAATAATATTAATTAGATTCTATAATCTTGTAAAAAAAGTTTTAATTTCATCTTTTTAGGTAAATAATATCTAAAAAGATATAAAAAAAAAGATATAAAAGTTTTTGTGACACATTTAAAAAGAAATAACACTAAATTATTCACATTCCATTATTTTGTATAATCGAATATAAAATAAAGTTCAACTTCGTTAAAACTAATAAGTGTATATTTGATTCTGAAGTCACAAGGGGAAAATAATTAACTTGACGAAGACCAAGGAAAAACTTGCTTATTCTCAAGCAAAACCCTGAATGGAAGAAAGTTTAAATTAATTTGCTTTTTGAAAAGATTTACTTTTTTACTCTAAATTAAATTTTATGTTTTCTCCACTAAATAAGGAAGTTATTATTGAGTTTGTTTTCATCAAAGTTAATGCCCTAACATTTATATATATTCAAAAAATTATTCAAAATGATTTAGAAAATATATAATTGCACTGGAATATTAATTATAGGTTATTTTCTGAATTGTAATTAATTAATTAGTGAAATAAAATAAGAAGAGATTTTCATTAATTTAGAGAATAAGGGTTTTTGCATTACAATCACAAAAACGAACAAAGACTTTCTGCTAAGAAAATTCGACATTCGTTCCTCAGTCTACTCAAGGATGTGTTCCCACAGATGGAAAATTAAAAACGGTAGCATATTTCTGTTATAAATAAATTGATGCGGTAAGAACTAATATAAGACTATTTGGGGTCATGTTTGGGAACTGATTGTGAAAAATCATGAAGAAACTTTTTAACCATTGAAACTTTCATTGCGCTTTTAAGATCCAGTTGGGAAAAAGTAATAATGCATTTCTGGTACAGATGGATTGATGTGGAGAGAACTATTTGACATTCATAATTGAAAAACAATTATGAAAAATCTTGAGGAGTGGGGAAGTGATGTAAGCATATGTTGATATAATAAATTCTAGGATCGCACATCGTGGTTTAAAAAACCAGATGAAAAAATAAACTTGAAGCATACCTGATGCGGATGGATTGATGAGGTGAGAACTAATTTGAAACGAATTGGCATCTATGATTGGTAAAGAGTTTATTGGTACCGGTTGAAAAATGTTTTAAGAAGCTGTTGACATAACAAAATCTAGAATCAAATGAGAAGAAGAAGCTGCAGTTAATTTCTAATAAAGATAAGGAATTTAATAATCTTTTTTTAAGCCCTTAAAGCATTTTGTTCAATTTTTATAGAATTTCTTATGAACCAATTTTTTTGTGTACATATGTACCATATATATTACGTTTCCATGGTTTTATATAAAATTTCCTTATATTCAGAAGTTCTTTAAAGATACAAAAACCATTTAAGATTTCCTCTTTCGTATTACAAAGTATTTTGCATTTTAAATGCGCCTAATTTTCCGGTGCTTTCAACTCCATAATCCTTCTAATTTCTTGCCTTACTCACTTGGAGTTCGTTTTGAAGGATTTTTCGCAACATTTTCAATTAAATTAAATTAAATTATTCTGAACTCAGCTGTCAAGTTTTATATACACGTGTATATTTTGCATTATCCTGCCGGTTCGAAAGGCATTAACACAAATTCACTAAAGTTCCTGCTGCCGTAGTAAATTTGCCTCCGTCAAAGGAATTACACATTCGCATGTGAGGCTTAACAAATATCAGTGCTTGTATCTTTTTAATTCCTTAATGCACAGCCATTAATTCAAAATGGATTTAATGCAGCAAAATTTTAAGATTTATAACTTAGCATTTCAAGGAAGTTCAGCGGCATTATTTGCCGTCGCTTTTAGTTTCCTTTCGAAAGTGCAAATGACATTTTCATATTTGCTTAAATCGTGCAATTTCATTTTCCACATTTTTATTGTTGTTTTAAAATTTAAATTGAAAAGGGAAATTAAAACTTAAAAGCTCAAGGGTTATCCTTTGTAAGTTACTTTTACGTGTCTTAGGTTATGTCCTGTGATTTATCGCTTTCCGTTTGTGTGTACTTGGCATGCGTGTGCTAACATGTCTATTCCTTCCGAATCATTTAATTAAATTCGTTAATTATTTATGTTTGTCATTCCTTTGAACTCTCACAAGTGTTAAGATATTTTCCTTACATTGTCAGCCTTACTGAAGTCAACAATCATCGTTCAATACTTTTTCACCAATCAAATATAACTGCTGGCAAATATTATTGACTTTCTTCAATGATTTTGTGGTCTATGTGGCAGGAATCGATTTTTTGGTTTTCCAATTGAATTATTTTTATATTTAATTATCTTCGCAGTAAACTCTATTTTATTATCCTTGCAAACACAATTGTGAAATATTCTTGCTTTGTCCTTCGTAGACACTCGCTTTGGAATTGGTTTAGGTTTGTGCTCAGTTGAAATTTTTATTGTGGTTCCAAACTATTTTCATTTGTAGTTTGTGCCATTGTTATTTCCCACAATCCAAATTCTCCATAGAACTTTATTTACGTAGCGTTTCGTTGACAAAATAAATATATAAAAAATAACTTAAAGTTCATGTTGTTTGTTTCAAAAAAATCAAAAAAAAAAAAAAACTCCCAGTACTAAAATTCCAGAAAGAACATAGGTGCCTTTGAGAATATTTCTTAAAATTTCACTTTAGTTACTAAAAAACTGCTATAAATAGTAACGAATGCAGGAAATGCAAGGGAGTAATTGTTGAACAATTCTGTTCGGTTTCCTCAAAACTTGGACTAAAATCTGTCAGTTTTAAAAGACGAGACTTTATCCCTGATATCACTTCTCTTAAATTTCGATAATGACATCTACATCTTACATTGCACTATCAACACTGATGATTGCAGGATGTGCAAGGGACCTGATGTTAAACAGATAATGAAACATTTGCTCTATTTCTGTTTGGCTTCTTTAAAATTTTGACTAAACCTCTATGAGTTTTAAAGGCCTAAAATTCATCCCTGATATTGAAATTTCACTTCTCACTTCAACACTGATGATTGCAGGATGTGCAAGGGACCTGATGTTAAACAGATAATGAAACATTTGCTCTATTTCTGTTCGGTTTCCTTAAAATCTAGACTAAAACTATCCGTTTTAAAAGACTACACTTTGTCCCTGATATTGAAATTTCATTTTCCTTGAATTGCGATAATGGCATATACATCTTATACTGCGCTTACAATAGCTAGATTTTGGCAAGATTTTTTATATATACATGAACGACCTGAAAATGCTGTATAAAGCAGAGAGAAACGTGTTCGCTCATTTCATCTGTATACAGTCCTAACTTGCGGTTGTTTGAATGGAAGACAGTACTTTCATCTGGCTTTCATTCAATCAATTCTGTGACACATCAGATTAAAATATTTATTCACATTATCTGCTCATGTTCTATAAAATTTAGTAAAACGAATCTAGTATATCCTAATGACTTTCATTAAATTAAATAAGGAATAAGGTTTGAAGTCAAACAAAGAAATACTGTAAGATTTTGCCTCACTTATGTTTCTTGCTGAAATATGAAATATTTAT